TTTAGCTGTCACCAGAGGTCTGTGGGCAGACACTCTGGGACAAGAATGCTAAAAAGCAGGTGAGATGTACCCAAGGGCCCGTGTCCTGAAAATTTTTCTGGCCAGCTTTGTCTCAGTTTATCGCCTAGCAAGAGGACACAGGATGGTATTTCATGCGTGGAATTTTAATGATAAATTTATTATATTTTAGTGTATTATTGGCTTGCGATTTTGTAGCCTTACAAGAAATTTCCGTTTCCACATCTCCATTAAATGTCTGATTCATTTTCTTGGCTCGTGGTAATGCCTCAGGCTACATCACTAAAGAATCAGTGCTCTGCATTAGATAAATATAAGACCAAGTCTGATTAACCTATTAACTATTTTTAATTAGCTTTTACTGTTCTTCAAATATTCTGTGTTTTTGAGGAAGCGGAAAGAGGATGAGAGCAGGCTAGTTCTGTAGGGATGTATAGAGCTAGCATATGGACCGAGATTATTCATCATCATTGGCAGCAGCTCTGCTGTAGGGAATCTTGCAACAACATCACAATTTTCCTGCTAGAGTGAATGCCATAATGGACGCATTTGTGGGGTGAGTTATGGCCAAGATAGAATAAAATTTAAATCTTTATAGCGTTTTTATGCTCTGTCTTCCTTTTTGGTAATCAGATCTTGATTAAGAGTTCGAATTAGCACCCAGAAGAACATTATGCTTTCCTGGCTCAGTTCCTTCCCACGATGTAGGGCAGGCAACAAATGATTCAGTGGCTTTACAGTGCTGCTACAACAAAAAGGTGTCTCTATACCTATCCACCGCTTCAGGAAAGTCACCGGCTGCTTGCTTGCAATGAGGAACATATGGTAGTGGCAAAATATTTTATTTGCTAAATAAAGCGACGGCTTGATTTAGTTCAGACAGGCTCCTCTCACAGCCACGACGACTTATTAGGGAAAAAGCTGGGCAAGGTGGGGTTCGCTGTCCCCGCTGTTGAGGGGCTGGGAGAGCTCTGTGGGGCAGAGCCAGCCCTTCCCTCGAGGGCAGCGCCCCGCACACGGCTGGACCCCGCGGGCGGCTCGGCGCTGCAGTGCGGGTCCCGTCTCGTCAGATTGAAGAGCATCTGACCCTGTAAGGCCAAAGCACGTTCGACCTTTTAATTTTAGGTGTCCTCGTGGTTTGGATGGGGTTTTTTTCCCCTTTCAGATACGTTGGGACCATTCCGGTCGAAGTGAATTTTGGAGGCACAGCTGCTCCAGCACTCGTTCTTCTTATGCCTCGAACGAGCAAACAAATAACTACAGCTTTTAATTTTTTTTTCTCCTGACAACGCTTCTTTTGTGTACCTGTGAATTCATTCACACCTCCTCTTCTGTTCCTCCCGGGGCTCCCCATCACACCTCAGCCCCTCCCTGACCCCAGCCCCCGCCTCTCGCAGCCCGGAACCCCACTGTCCCTGCTACCCTCATGTCCCCGGAACTCTGCAGGCTGCCTCCCCGAGGTCCCGAGGGGATTCTGAGGGAGTTGCCCTGCTCTCCCGGCGTTGCATCCTCCGGGATGCCGCTCGCCCCTGCTCTCTCCGCTGCCCCGGCCGCGGGCCGGCCGCTCGCTCCTCCTCTCCTCCCGCATCCCCCTCGCCCAGGCGGCTGTTGCCCTGTACGAAGCGGCGAAGCGCTTACGATGAGTTTCACCGTGAAACTGGTGAAACGCAGCCGGGTATTGGTGAGCAGCCCCGGCTGCAGCGGGTCCGGTCAGTAACCCCATCTGCTCAAGGAGTACTTCAGCTGCTGCATTTCCAGGCTGCGGCTTGCTCACCCCGCTAGTGAAGTTTGTTGCTGGGGTGGGCTTCACCCCCACCGCAGCCTGGGGTGCTCACGGTGTCCCCCACCCGCTGCTCAGCTCCTGAGCACAGCCCCGGCTGCCTCCTGAGTTACTTTGCCTGACTACTTTAGCTTAGGGTCTGACTGCATCAGCTTAGGGAAAACAGAAGCTGAGTATGGAAAGGAACCAAATATTAATATTTTCGAATATTTCTGTTATTAAAGACAAAGCGAAGGTAATTCTGGCATTTGGATCCATTTCTTATGCAGGGGCAGCCCTATGGGCTCCATCCCACTTGCGATGCTATCTTTAGGGAAAAAGTTGCGCGAGGAGCCCCCCAAATAAGCACTCGTTTTTTTCAATATGCCATCAGCTCCTTATAGCAGAAAGGGAGGAAAAGCGCTTGTACTGAAGGGATCGTTTTGTTTTGCTTCCGCTAGAAAACAAGCCGAGTGGTACCGGGCGGCGAAGTGCCGGCCGGGCCGGGAAGGAGGCGCGGGGCGAGGGGAAAGGGCCGGTACCGGCGGTACCGCCGGGCCGAGCTCGGGGCTGGCAGCGCCCGCTGCCCGCACAGCCCCGGGCGGTACCGCAGCTCGGCCCGGCCCGGCAGAGCGCCCCTTTCCCCTCGACCGAAGCTGCCGCCGCTGCCGGTACCCGGCCCTGGCAGAGCTCCCTCGGGAGGCTGCGGGGAGGGAGGCAGCGGGTCCGGCCCGGGGGAGAGCCCCTTCCCCCGCACCATCTCCTCTGCAGGAGGGAGGAAAAGAGGTTCCCCTGGGTGCTGGACACGCAGCGGGGCCGCCCCGCGCCTGCCTCAGCACTTCCAAACGCGGTTTAGCATTTCTCTCCCCCCTAATTCAAATGCAAATCGGTCTTTCAGAGGTGGCTCCCCCCTCTTTCTCCACGCCCGCTGCCGGAGCCGAGCCTGGGCGCGGCCGGGGCTGCGGGGCTGGGGCTGCGGGGCTGCCACGGCCGAGCGCTCGCTGGCTCCTCTGCAACCAGCAGCAAAGCACTTTTGTTGGTTTTACTTTTACAATATTTGCGAAGTGACAAGAGGACGAAAAAAAAAAAAAAAGAAAAAAAAAAACCTCAGAGATTTAACTCGAGTTTCCCGGCGGTGCCGTTCGTGTGGCTGTGCCAAAGTTAGGGCAAGGCAAGATCTCACGCGCCCTTTCTCCAAATGTATTCCTCAGCTTTATAATTTAAACTAAACCAATTCAGAGCAACAAGGGATTCTTTAGAAATAGAAGGAAACATCGTTGCAGGTAGAGAACCAACGTGCCTCCTCTTTAGCTAAGATTCGTAATTAAAATAAAATTAATTTTCACACCATCCCGTTTTTCCACTCTCGAGGTAAACAGAGTTCCCCACAGGTACAACACACGGGCACAAACAGCGCAGGGTAAAAATTGTTCAGGGTAATTTTACATCACTGTTCCATGGAATGCTCTTTAGGGGACACATGGGATTTTTTTTTCCCTTCCAGCCTCAGGCTACGTGAAAAGCCGTAAGTAGCCGGGAGCGCTGGGCACAAGTGTCCAGGGGGCTCGCTGTTACCGAGGGCCTCGGGGGTACAGCAGTGCCCGGCCCGGCAGCACCGACAGCCGGTTCCAGCGGGGACAGGGAGCATCCACACCGTCCAGAGGCGTGCGGGAAGGGCCGAGCCAGCTCACACCACCCGCATCCCAAGGAAGCGCCGGGGCAGGCCCGGCCTGACCGGGACTCGAGCGGCTCCGCTCTCTGGAGTCGCTCCCAAGGCATAGAGACAGAGGGACAGAGAAAGAGAGAGAAAAAAGGAAGGAAGAAAGAAAAGAAAGAAAGAAA